TTTTCCATGTAAATAGATACTTGGAAATTGTCACATCTTGAGTTTAAGTTTAGTGATATGGTTTGTCTGCGTCTCCACCCAAATCTCATCTTGAATTGCAGCTCCCGTAATCCCCACATGTCGTGGGAGGGACCCAGTGGGAGATAATTGAATTATGGGGGCAGTTTCCTCCATACTGTTCTCATGATAGTGAATAAGTCTCATGAGATCTCATGGTTTTATAAAAGGTTTCCCTTTTCCCTTGGCTCTCATTTCTCTCTTGTCTGCCACCATGTAAGACATGTCTTTCATCTTCTGCCATGATTGTGAGGCCTCCCCAGCCACATGGAACTGTGAGCCTATTAAGCCTCTTTTCCTTTATAAATTACCCAGTCTTGGTTATGTCTTCATCAGCAGCATGAAAACTGACTAATACATGTAGAGATTAAAGGTGACACCCAATCTACAAAACATGACCTCTATTGCAGCCTTTTGTTTTCAGAGATGGAGGGTAGGTGAAGCCATGAAGACAGCATGTTTGTAAATCTGGTTTCCTGGCACTCAGCCTTGAGAATGAGACACAATGCAGGGCAATTTCGCACTAAACGTGGGGCCTATTGTCTAGGCATCTTCTAGCGGCTTAAGACCTACTGGCTCCAACTTGGTTCTTTCTCGGATTCAGTCTTGTCATAGCTGACATGGCAAACACCTCTGGTTGCCTATCAAACATCCATTTTCTTTTCCTTATAAGAGAAATTTTGTTTTTGTTTTGTTTTGTTTTGTTTTCAGGGGAGCAGGGAGGTGATATGGTAGCAACGTCCTCACTGAAAGATGATATTTTCCAGCTTCCTTTGCAGCTAGAAGTGATCATGTGACACAGTTCTGACCAAACCACAAAGGCTGAAGATTCCTCAGAAAGTTTTGTTTTCATGATATGCAGATCCCACTCTTTTCTGTTTCCCTCTCTCTTTTCTAAATGAAACTGGGGCGTGTTGGCTGCAGCTGCAGCCACCATTTTATAGGTAAACATGAAGGGAAATTTAAGAGAATCACAAGGATCTTGGCTCCAAATCCTCAGATTACTGCACTGGCCTGCACCTCTAGCCTCTAGACTTCTTGTGATATGAGAGAAAATTAAACTTCCATCTTCTTTAAGCCAAGGATATGTGGTTTGATTTGGTTTTGTCACATGTATCCAAAAATGACTTCTAATTAATATAGATACAACTGACAGCCAAAGTACCACATGTTTCTAAAGGAGAGGGTGCTGGATTTTTAATCATCGGTATAAATCAATAGGAGAAATCTCTTATTTGGCTGTATTAAACAAAAATAATTAACAGATTCTATTTTACATTTTAAAAATATACGTTAAAAACTCTTAGAATTAAATACATTAGGAGGCAAAAGAGGATCTTTAAAAATATGAATTATCATGTTTTTATCATGCCCAAAGTGTGTGCGTGTGTGTGTGTGTGTGTGTATATATATATATATATTTTTTTTTTTTTTTTTGAGACAGAGTCTCACTCTGTTGCCCAGGCTGGAGTGGAATGGTGTGATCTCGGCTCACTGCAACCTCTTTTTTCCAAGTTCAAGCGATTCTTGTGCCTCAGCCTCCCGAGTAGCTGGGATTACAGGCACGCACCACCATGCCTGGCTAATTTCTGTACTGTTAGTAGAGACAGCGTTTTGCCACGTTGGCCAGGCTGGTTTCAAACTCCTGGCCTCAGGTGATCTGCCCACCTCGGCCTCCCAAAGTGTTGGGATTACAGGTGTGAGCTACCACGCTCGGCCACCAAAGCATATTTTCAATGTTTAAAATATTTATTTAAACAAGAGGTAAAGAAGCTGAGCAACACTCTTGGAAAGAGTAGTATATAATTAGTGTCAGAGAGTAGAAGGATGAAAAATACATTTTCTTCCTTGAGGCTATTAGAGTTTCCTTTGTAGTATAATATATCCTTGGCATTGATCAGGTGGTCCCCTCAATCCACCCATATCACAATCTACCTTTTCCGTCCATCATATATATGTTATACAATACAACATATATATGTTATATATAATATATTACATATATTATATATGTTATATATAATATATTACAATATATTACATATATTATATATGTTATATATAATATATTACATATATTATATATAATATATTACATATAATATTATATATGTTATATATACATATTACATATATTATATATGTTATATATAATATATTACATATATTATATATGTTATATATAATATATTACATATATTATATATGTTATATAATATATTACATATATTATATATGTTATATATAATATATTACATATATTATATATGTTATATAACATTTGTGAACTAAGTAGAGTGGAAAGAAAGGCGGGGAGATGATTCTATGTCACATCTGGGTCTGATTTAAGGTGATTAATCAAAAGAAACAAAGCCCTTGGAGGTGGAGCTAGGAGCCTTTTCCATGCACATGGTGAACATCTTTTGTTGCTGTGAGGATGACAATGGTTCATAATTACAGGTCTCCCTTGAAGAGTTATTTCATGTTGTCTGAATAAAACAGCCAGTGGCTAAGGAAGTGAATAATGCAATCTCACATTCTACTTAGATTACTCCCCACACAGCCAAGCTAGGTAAAGATGCTGGGTAATGATTAAACATTCCCCAAGTAGGGACTAAAAGGCGAGCATTTTGAGGCTAGAAATTGTACTGCACTGCTGGAAATGCCTGCTTGGTGTGTTACTGAACCGCTAATCACATGCGAAAACTGCCAAATTGCCCAGAGCAATCCACCCTGTGGCACTAAAAAATGAAAATTAAAAAAAAAAAAAAAAAAAAAGACTGCTTTTCAAAGGAGAAATTCAAAGGCCATTACTGCTTTCCTCCCTTTTGGATTCTTCCTTCTGATTATCCTGCTTTGCTGCAAGGATTTCTAAGGTATCTGCTCTTAGAAGCAATCTTTTCATCTCGCTGTACTATGGACACACCTGGACTGTGTGCTGTGCAGAACAGCCACCAGGCTCCCGCTTTCCCTGAGTCCCAGGCTAGGGACTAACTGTTCTTTAGAGTAGGGATGGACAGGAATCAAAGGGAAAATTCTTTTTGGGGAAAAAGGGAAGGGGCATATATTATTTGTGGTCAACCACATCTCTGAACACCCTCTCTCCATTTTGATAGGGTCCCATTATTTTAGTCCCACGTTCCCAAAGTAGAATCCTAAAAACTCCATTTCCCAGCAGCTCTTGCAGCTAGGTACAGAGATATAATGTAGGTTCCACCGATCAGACACTCATTCAAGACTGATTTGGGAGTCTCTGGAGGGGATTCTACTGTAGGCACACGTAGTAGTGGAGGCAGAGGAAGAGAGTACAGACTCAGGCAGTTCCGTAGCATGCTTCTAGGGGTAGCCACCTCATCAATACAATTAGAGACATGGCTTTGGGCACTGAGCCTGCAAGATTAGGCTTGAGCTCGGTTCTCTGGTCTTCCCTGACTAATATCTACCCATCAATTTTCTCCTTTTCTACTTAAACTACCCAAGTTGGATGCTATTATCTTCAGCTAAAAATTACCTGACCCAATAGGCACACACATGTGTGATGTAATATAACTACCCTTGCAAATAATTTTTTTAAAAATTTTGTAGGAAAGAGTATACCTCTCAAAAAGATTCTAACCTTGACCTGGGTTTGGCACAGAGGAGCACTGTAAGCGTGAGGAGATTTGAGATAGCTGTTCTTACTTCGCAATCAGAGTTCATGTTAAAAAGTGATGGCTGCAAAACACGGGATCACATAGGTTTACTCTTGTGAAACAGCCAAACAAGTGATCGTCTGGCTGAGGTTCTTCTAGGAGCATTGAGGAAACCTTTTCTCTTTGCCTGAAAACCCACCATTAGAGAAAGCTTCCCCTGGATCTGGAAGGTTTTTTGGTTTGTTTGTTTCATTTTTAGCTCTATGACTGTCCTATTGGAAGGCAAATCCTTGAGAAGGCTTACACCTTCATCATCAGTGGCATGGGGGCTTTAGTTGACATAGCTCAAGATCAAGTTCTTGGGAAAGAGGCTGAAGATAGTCTCATGATAGAGAACGGGGCCCTGTAGAGGAACGTGGTAACACTGAAAACACAGTTCACACGTTTTCCCAGGTCTAGCTGTGTATATGTTGTGAATCAACATGGGTTTAAAAGAAATTAGAAAGAACACGTCATCTCTTATGTGGTTCTTAGGTAATCAAAATAAGAGCAAGACAAATCTCTTTAGGGTTGCAAATGTGATTCTCCTAAACGAAAAAAATTCTAAACATATGGCAAGAAGCTTCGAAATCTGTTAATGTGCAAATGTCATGATAAAAAAGGAACCGGTAAAAAAAAAAAAAAAAAATAGAGCTAGTGAGTGTTAACGAACTGCCAGGCCACATTCTCTAAAAATGGAAGGAATTGAATTCATCTTATCCTTTAGCTATGGAGCTAACTAAATGTGGCACTGGGGACGACTCCTCCCAGACTGGCGATGAAATTTTGAAAAAACAGTGCTACTTGCTAGGCATAACTATACTGAAAGGGAGGTTTAAAATGAGTAATGCAGGAAATCTGGTGACTGTGGATATCTAGATCCCACTTCCATTTACTATGTGACTTGGGCAAGGCACTTGATCTCTCTAATCCTCTGTTTCCTCATCTGTTAAATAGAAATGATAATTCTAAGCTTAAAGGACTATTAGGAGGCATCCATCAATAATATCAGCAAAATACCTGGTCATGGTAGGGGCTGAAGACTAGGGAATTCTTAAGTGATGAATAGGGCTAGCCTCCATCTTCAACCTGGCCCACCTGATGGGAATGAGAAAGTGAGGGAGCCTCTGGAAAGGCTCTTAGTCACTACAAGGATTCAAAGGGGAGAGCTTCAGCCTGACTTGGGCAGTGAGCACACGAGTACGTCCTCAAGCTGTTTGTTCATCTCTGCCACACTATCCTCTCATTTGGGATTGAAATAAAAGAACAGCCTGTGTTTAAGCTTTTATTGTCAATGGTAACAGCTCGGGGCCTTGAATCTAACCAACAGGTAGCCTAGATGTAGAAAGCATTAATTGGAAGACTCTTTTCGACAATTGTTCACAGCAAACAAGTTCGAACCGGAAGATGCTGCTTGAAAATCACGAATTTAGTCAAGGATGAAAGATACAAGAATAGTCAAATATTTTGCACAAGGAAATCTCGTTGATGATCCGTAGAACTGATGCTTGCAGAACGCAGTCTCTTACGGGTTTTGTTTTTCTCCTTTGAGAGAGGCCATCATTGTCATTGCTGGTTCAGCTGGGGGGGTTCCTTCCTTCACGTTGAGAACCTGGAGCAGAGAGTCTACCAACTTAAGAAATATTAGAAAGAGTTCAGCAAACAGAGTGAGCTGAAGTCTAATCCTAGAAGTAAATCCATTCCTACAAGCCATCAGCATCACTTGGGAGCTTGTTAGAAAGGCAAATTCTTGGTTCAACCTAACACCTACTAAATCAGAAACTCTGGGGGCGGAGCACAGCAATCTGTACTTTCACAAGCCCTACAGGTGTTTCTGAGCATGTAACATTGGCGAACCAGAGCTGTCCCCCAAGAGACAAATTAACTTCTACTTTTTTTTTTGAGCTACTGCATTTTGGGATCTTATTGTTTTATCAGCTTAATGTGCACCCTGATATGATTACTCAGGTATGTTTTAATCAATGTTGGTTAATGTACTATCCCCAGGAACTTACTACTAGAGGAGCAGCTGAGTGGTAAATTCTGGGAATGTGGAATTTGAATTCTTACTTTGCTTACTTTGACAATGCATCATTACACAAATCAAAGCTAGTTTCTGGATTACATAATTATACATTACAAACCTACAACTGTAAATGGTAGTAGTGTGGAAACTTGGGAAGAGGAGTTAATTTGGATTTCTGCCAATTCTAAATTTATTGTGGTTTGCTTGTTGTGGCTTCTGCTCAAATTAACTAAGACTAAAGAAAGAAAGAGTAGTTATAATTTTAAAATACTTCTTTGTTCCCATATAGCACCCTTTATGCGCTGAGATGAAAAAACACTTTTCGTTGAGACTAGAGCTTATTACTCTTCCCAAGATTCTCTGGCAATTCAGATTCCCCAACTTCCATATCAGCCATTTGTTTCTAATAAAGGAACTACTGATATTCTTGGGCAAATTATTACCTGCTCTGTGGCTCAGTTGTTTTGACCATGTGCTAATGAGCCCAGAGCCTGGGGTTTGATTCCCACGCAAGCCAATTACCTTTGGTCGCCTCCACCAACCCAGGCTGCCCTATTAAAGACTGCCGCCTGTCCGAAGATGCCAGCACATATCTTGCCTTATGAGTCACTGGTCATAAAAGCTAATGTGTGGGGAACAATTCTACGTAAGTCCCCCATTGGCTCAAAATGTTGAATAAAAGAGGTTTGGCTGGAAGGAATAAAAGCTAAAAGGAAAAAGAGAATTGTGGAAACTAGGAAGATTAAGGACCTGGGAGGCAATGGGGGGGGTCTACTGTTGGGGGTGGGGAGGAGCTGTATTCTAGATGGGAGCCAGCTTTACTCTGCTCCGTCATAGAAAGTGTCAGCATAATCAGAAGGTTATGAGTGATTCTTGATTGTATGTTGCTTTTTCTATATTTGGCACTTCCTTTGGAGCATTTCAAATATTCAGAAATAAGACCTTCCTATTCTCTGTACTGATTTGATGAGACAGTGAGAGTAGTCCCTTAAAAGTGAAGAACGAACACCTTTACTTTCTTTTCCATAACAGCCTTTGTAGCTCATTTCCTTGCCCCCTTCATGTCCACTAAATAAAAGGAGAGACCTAAGCTGCAAAGAATAAGGGACTAAGTCCAAATTATAAAGGGAGACCAAAGGCCAACGAAAACCTCCACTGAAACTCAGGACAATGCACAACCACATCCAGGATAGTGGATGAGGCCCTGGAGCTTCATCCATGGGGATGAGTTTCATCTTGCAGAAACAGAACAGTCTCATGTTGCAGAAACCATGGGGAAAAAGTTTCATTAATTGCAGAATAGAATTAAAAGATTTGGGCCAGGCACAGTGGCTCACGCCTGTAACCCCAGCACTTTGGGAGGCCAAGGCAGGCAGATCACGAGGTCAGAAGATCAAGACCATCCTGGCTAACATGGTGAAACCCCGTCTCTACTAAAAAAAAAAAAAAAAAAAATACAAAAAATTAGCCAGGCATGGTGGTGGCGGGCGCCTGTAGTCCCAGCTACTCAGGGGACTGAGGCAGGAGAATGGCGTGAACCCGGCAGGTGGAGCTTGAAATGAGCTGAGATCGCGCCACTGCACTCCAGCCTGGGCTACAGGGCGAGACTCCATCTCAAAAAAAAAAAAAAAGAAAGAATTAAAAGATTTGTGAGAAGGGCACAGTTAAAAGGATTAAGGTTAACCTTGAACATTGCTGGGCATAATTGCTCTGAAAGTTCTGGAGCTGTTTCCATGATCGAGTAACCTAGTTTCAGTGCACATTACACACATCCTTTATGAATTAAGTAAATATCTTTGTCATCAAAACATAGGAAATGCTTGGAGTTTCTAACTACAGCTCCAAGAGAGTTGGCAACAGTACTTGATGTTTTATTACTAAAATGAGAGACGAGAGCATATGTAGATAGTTTTTAATTTTAAGAACAGTCCTTCAGCCTCTGAAAACTCCTGCTGCTAATTCTGGCAATGCTTGGCTAAGTTATTATTAAGTTTCTCTCTAACACTCCCATAACTCTAAGATATGGGAGATATATGGGTTTCTAATAGAACTAATCTCTTGGCACCCCTTCTTTTTGAGTCAGATCATTGTAAGGTGTTTTCAATTTTCATAACAACATACTTTCATTGAGGTGGAATTTCCAGTGCAAGAGAAGCAATAAAATATGTTGGTCTCTGCAAAGACTAACTGTGAAATTTGTTTTTGTGTTACTAGGAAATAAAGCCAAAAGAATAGTACCAATGTGTGCAATAACTAATTATTCAACTGGAGGTGGAATGAAGTGAGACGGGCTTTCTAAACCTGTAAAAAGAAAAACAATGCATAAAAATAATAGAAAAAGAAAGCCCGAGGTTTTTAAAAATAATCTTTTTGGTTACCTTTTGCAGTTCACTTGGGATAAGGACTGCCCCCTTTAAGCAGTCACTGTCCGCAGCTGCCCACTCAACCCATCCTATTTTACTGCTACTCAGACACCTTTGTGGAACTATTCTTTTTGCCATTGCCTTTGAAGCTTACAGAATATTCTTCTGAATATGGTGGAAAATTTTTGATCCTTAAGAAAGGAGTTGAATTTTCCAAAAGATTCCAAAGATACGCAGGGCCAGGTTGAGGAAATAAAATAACACAAACTGGACACTGCTGTTTGTTTCAAAAATGAGGCACTATAGAATAGTAACATGATTGTGTGTTAATAGAGGGGAGTATTTCATGAACGAGCTATGAGGGCAAGTCCATTTCAATGTTTGCAAAAATTATTTTCCAGGGTTTTGTGGCGGCAATTTTTGTTACTGTTCAGACAAATGAGAATGGTACTGCTGTTGGATATCCACCTACAGGAACTCCAGCAAAGCACCTGACCATGAAAAAGGATGGCCAGCTAGAATCTGAGAAGTCACCTGCAAGTTCACAGAGCCCTCAGAGGATGGGATGCATCAGTAAAGAAGGGGGCTGATGGCATAACACCTGTGACACAGGTATGGACCAGACAATCACTTGGGGTTTTGCACAAAGTTGGTATTTATTTCTGTATTGATTTATTTAATCTGGGATTTTTTTTTTTTTTAATAAAAGCTACAAAGACTTTCCCTCTAGGCGCTTAGTGTAACAGGTGAAATTCAGTTTCCATTTAGCATAGAAACCCACATTTGGGAGGCCGAGGCTGGGGAAATCACTTAAGCCCAGGAGTTTGAGACCAGCCTGGGCAACAGAGCCAGTCCTTGTCAAAAAAAAAAAAAAAAAAAGACGGGGGGGTGGGAAGGAAAGAAAAGAAAAGAAAGAAACCACATAGACAGAACTTGGAAGAAAGAAAGAAAGAAAGAAAAAGAAAGAAAGAAAGAAAGAAAGAAAGAAAGAAAGAAAGAAAGAAAGGCAGACGGTTGCTCCTTCCTTCCGGGAGGACGCGGCGGACCGAGGACATTGGTGGAGCAGGGAGGCCGTGCGGGGCTTGTAGGGACGGCTCCTGGGCTAGCATTGTTTGATTGGGAATATTCCAAATTTTTGGTGGTGGAAAACAGTATTTGTCAGAAGCAGCAGAAGCAGGGCCTTCAGCTGGATGCTTTATATTAAGATCAATGACGACCATTTCTGGAAGATGTCTTGCATAGTACAGACTGTCTGAGGAGGACCCAGGCACAGGCCCTTACCCTGATTTTATCAATGAAAAGCTATAGGACTAGTTTCACTTACCTCTAAAATGGAGAGAATGGTAGAATCTTCCTTCTAAGACTGTTGTGAGCATAAGCTGAGAAAATGGAGGTAAACTGCTTAGCCCAATACTCGGATTATCGTAAATATTCAGTAAAACTAGCCACCATTGTTATTGTAATTATTGTTTTGTATTTTGTTATACATTTCATGGAAACTTAAAAGTTAGTGATAATCACCTCATTTTAGTTGCCTTGCTTTCTTCTATAAGTTTCATTCTCTCTCTCTTATCTTGTTCACTGTCTTTGTATTAAGTATTGCCAGTTTAGTATAATTATTTTCCCCTATCCTCTATAAAATCATATACAGGATGAATTTGTTGATCTCAGATATGTCCACTGAGTTTTAAAATATTATGAAACCTGGGCTAGGTACTCCTGGAACAAATATGAAGAAGTGCTACTTTGTGTCAAAGGTAGCAAACAAGAATGTTCTTTTCTAAAACTAGGAACCTCCTAGTGTTCTGAAACAAACATAAAATCTGTAGATCCATGGATTTACTCAAATACTTTACCAGACTCACTATCTTGACATTCTGGTAGGAGCCTGGCTATTAAAAATATATATATGCCATCATGCATAGCGGCAAATAGACAAAATTGCTGAAAAAACTCCTAAATTGGAGTTTTGGAATCAATATCCTTTTGACTATTCACGTCAAGAGAACATATAAATTGTCTGTCAATGTACTTAGCATGTATTGGGTTAGCCTAATGTAGCAACCACGAAGGTTTATATCATAAGTAATTCTATTCTTCCTCATTTGAACTTGCCCTCTTTCCACCTCTCCCCATATACCTCCCACCCATCTCGCACATATGTTTCTTTTACCTTTGCCTTTTGAACCTATGCCAAGTTGCTGCTATCCTCTGAATCCCACGAAGGCTGCTGATTGCCCAGGGCCTTGGGTTGAGGTGGCTGGTGGTTTCTGTTCTCCTTTATTCTATGAGACCCAGCAAATTGCTTGCAGCTTCTTCCCACCTGATGTACTCTCTCAGCTGCTGCTTTGGGCTCCTCTCTCCAGAAACAGAAGACTCCCCTGTGCTCTTTTTCCCCATTAAGTGCCCTGTAAAAACCAAAACAAAAACACTCTCACAATGCCACAAATTTAACCAAAGGGAATAGACGAATGAGAAATTTAAAGGACATCAATTGTGTTGTACTGCTTCCTCCTAAATGCAGAATAAATCATGTTTTATTATGAAGGATTAGTTCATAAATGACAGATAGATTTTGCTGTCTGTTCAAAATGTGCAATGAGCTAGACTGCATTCAGAACTGCAACCCAGAAACCCTGGAGCTTGGTTCCAACACCTCTACTAGCTACTAAGGTGACCTCTGCCAAGTCGTGTAGCACCCCTAGTCTTTAATTTTCTCTACTATAAAATGGACAGGGTAGACTAGATTAAATCTAAGAGAGCTTCCATATCCCACAAAATTCTATCATCAATTCTGTATACAAATTCTATTTCCAACTGAAAGATGGAGTTTAAACATCGTCCCCAGCCAATTTTGAATTGCTGCTGAAAATAAAACTCTCCATGCTTTTCTTTGTGTAGTTTTTTAAAAATATTGCTTTCTTTTTATCTGTAGTAAAAAATACCAAAGGAATTTTTCATTTAAACTTTCTCAGAATTTTAGTTGAGATTAAACCTAGGAAACTACCTAGATTGATTGTTTGTTAAGAGTGTAGTGAAAACCAAGTTGAAAACAAGCCCCGAGTAACACTTTACAGCCACATAAATGCAGAATTTTCTCTTGGGTGTCTGCAAGTCTATCAATGGCTCCAGGAATGTGTGCTAGCCGTGTAAATAATTTTTTTAAAAAAACAGCTGTTAAGGAGGCCAAACCACCAAAAACATGAAAATTTATGTATGCAAGAGGGGATAACTTGGAGTCAAGTGGGTACAGGAATTCAAGGTCTGCATTCTTAACACTTTAGACCCTTGCTTGAATATTCTCATGTTCTCTACTTTTACTGTTGATAGAAAGAAAGAAAGAAAGAAAGAAAGAAAGAAAGAAAGAAAGAAAGACAGACAGACAGACAGACAGACAGAAAGAAAGAAAGAAAGAAAGAAAGAAAGAAAGAAAGAAAGAAAGAAAGAAAGAAAAGAAAGAAAGAGAGAGAAAGACCACAATAGACCCAAAGGGCAATGAAATAGAAAGCTTCCCTCCAGAAAGCCATCTGAGGCTTAGCAAAGGCAGCTCTGAGCCCCTAAAGGGGCCATCAGTCTTCACCATGAATGAGTGAAGAAGGAAGCTCTTCAAGTACAGTGAGTGGAAAACAGTATTATTTATTGTCAGAAGCAGCAAGAAGCAAGGCCTTCAGCCTGGATGCTTTATATTAAGATCAATGACGACCATTTCTGGAAGATGTCTTGCATGGTACAGACTGTCTGAGGAGGACTGAGCACAGGCCCTTACCCTGATTTTATCAATGAAAAGCTATGGGACTAGTTTCCTTACCTCTAAAATGGAGAGAATGGTAGAATCTTCCTTCTAAGACTGTTGTGAGCATAAGCTGAGAAAATGGAGGTAAACTGCTTAGCCCAATACTCGGATTATCGTAAATATTCAGTAAAACTAGCCACCATTGTTATTGTAATTATTGTTTTGTATTTTGTTATACATTTCATGGAAACTTAAAAGTTAGTGATAATCACCTCATTTTCAGTTGCCTTGCTTTCTTCCTATAAGTTTCATTCTCTCTCTTATCTTGTTCACTGTCTTTGTAACTAAGTATTGCCAGTTTAGTATAATTATTTTCCCCTATCCTCTATAAAATCATATACAGGATGAATTTGTTGATCTCAGATATGTCCACTGAGTTTTAAAATATTAGCATGAAACCTGAGCTAGGTACTCCTGGAACAAATATGAAGAAGTGCTACTTTGTGTCAAAGGTAGCAAACAAGAATGTTCTTTTCTAAAACTAGGAACCTCCACTAGTGTTCACCAGAAACAAACATAAAATCTGTAGATCCACATGGATTTACTCAAATACTTTGCAGACTCACTATCAAAACATTCTGGTAGGGCCTGGCTATTAAAAATATATATATGCCATCAATGCATAACGGCAAATAGACAAAATTGCTGAAAAAAAACTCCTAAATTGGAGTTTGGAATCAATATCCTTTTGACTATTACGTCAAAAAGAAGGGAACATATAAATTGTCTGTCAATGTGCTTAGCATGTATTGGTGTTAGCCTAATATAGCAACCACGAAGGTTTATATCATAAGTAATTCTATTCTTCCTCATTTGAACTTGCCCTCTTTCCACCTCTCCCCATATACCTCCCACCCATCTCGCACATATGTTTCTTTTACCTTTGCCTTTTGAACCTACATCTTTGAAGTTGCTGCTATCCTCTGAATCCCACGAAGGCTGCTGATTGCCCAGGGCCTTGGGTTGAGGTGGCTGGTGGTTTCTGTTCTCCTTTGCTTCTATGAGACCCAGCAAATTGCTTGCAGCTTCTTCCCACCTGATGTACTCTCTCAGCTGCTGCTTTAGGCTCCCTCTCTCAGAAACAGAAGAAGACTCCCCTGTGCTCTTTTTCCCCATTAAGTGCCCTGTAAAAACCAAAACAAAAACACTCACAATGCCACAAATTTAACCAAAGGGAATGAACGAATGAGAAATTTAAAAGGACATCAATTGTGTTTGTGCTGCTTCCTCCTAAATGCAGAATAAATCATGTTTTATTATGAAGAGTTAGTTCATAAATGACAGATAGATTTTGCTGTCTGTTCAAAATGTGCAATGAGCTAGACTGCATTCAGAACTGCAACCCAGAAACCCTGGGCTTGGTTCCAGCACCTCTACTAGCTACTAAGGTGACCTCTGCCAAGTCGTGTAGCACCCCTAGTCTTTAATTTTCTCTACTATAAAATGGACAGGGTAGACTAGATTAAATCTAAGGAGGCTTCCATATCTAAAATTCTATCATCAATTCTGTATGCACCAAATTCTATTTCCAACTGAAAGATGGAGTTTAAACATCGTCCCCAGCCAATTTTGAATTGCTGCTGAAAATAAAACTCTCCATGCTTTTCTTTGTGTGGTTTTTAAAAAATATTGCTTTCTTTTTATCTGTAGTAAAAAATACCAAAGGAATTTTTCATTTAAACTTTCTCAGAATTTTAGTTGAGATTAAACCTAGGAAACTACCTAGATTGATTGTTTGTTAAGAGTGTAGTGAAAACCAAGTTGAAAACAAGCCCCGAGTAACACTTTACAGCCACATAAATGCAGAATTTTCTCTTGGGTGTCTGCAAGTCTATCAATGGCTCCAGGAATGTGTGCTAGCCGTGTAAATAATTTTTTTAAAAAAACAGCTGTTAAGGAGGCCAAACCACCAAAAACATGAAAATTTATGTATGCAAGAGGGGATAACTTGGAGTCAGAAGTGGGTACAGAATTCAAGGTCTGCATTCTTAACACTTTAGACCCTTGCTTGAATATTCTCATGTTCTCTACTTTTTACTGTTGATTTTTCCTCTCTCTCTCTCTGTAATTGGACTTTGTAGCACTTTGAAAGTTCTAACGTCAACAAAACTATGGTACTTTTGATCTAAAGTGTACAAGGAAAAAGGTCTTTGTGATTCCGACACTGATTGGCATTAGAAGTATTTAAGACAAACATAAAATTTGAAAGATTTTCAGTCTTAAAATGGAAAGAGGCCCTTTCCTAGAAGTTCTATCCACCAACAGAGAAGCCCTCACTGTAAGCAACTTTATTGCTTTTATGTGTATTGCGATTTGCAGTTTATGGGATGTTTAAATGTGCTTGATTTCATCTGATCCATATGCTAAGTGGTTTGGTGAAAATGAGGCTTGCCAGAGGTCACACAGATATAAGTAACTATTTTAGGATTAAAATCAGCTCACAATCTAGACTATATTATTATACTGCTTGGCAATGTCTTTTAACTTGCTAAGAATATAAGGCAGCTAAAATCATTCTGGGATCTGGAAATAAGGATAAGGTCTACAAAAGGCTTTCTAATGTTATAAAAATAGGGATTATATACCAATATATCATGATACATTACATAATTGAGAAAAAATAGTTCTATGAGTATTAAGGAGCATTAAAATCAGGTTGTACTGCATTGCAGTGTGAGCGTTTGCCAAATTGCTTATGACATGAGACTTCACACCATTTCAGGACCCTAACTGGGAATACTGTCCCAAGCGAAGGCCTGGAATCCTGAATGATTGGCTCTGCACTTATCAGCTTGGTCACGTGGTGCTCAGCTATCCACTCAGCAACTTTGCATTCAGCCATAACAGTGATTACGTTGTGCAACTTCCCAGGAAGTAGTGATGCATTTGGTTTTATTTATATGGAGGAAATTGAATCATGATGATTGGAAGGCAGGACTAGAATCCTGATACTCCCAGTAATGACCTAGATCACCTTGCCCTTCTAACTGCCTATCATCTAGTTAGAATGCTGGAAATGAGAAAGAGTTATTGCCAATAAAACAGAGGAGTGATGGAGATATCACACATAAGAACCTCATTTTTGTCATGCTTGAATAATTTTGTGGGCTTTTCTAAAATGGGAGGAGAAAGTCATTCTCCAGTCTGTGATTGTACTAAATTTCAGTACATGCATATCTGGGGAATGTGTGGGGATCCGTTCTTTACCTCTAGATCCATAGACTGGTTGTTAAGGAGAGCACGCTATCTATAGCATCCCAGGGAAGTACACATTCCCTGGGTCTGATTTCACTTTTGAGCTAGTGACTGTCAACCAAATCATCATCTCCATGGCAACATGGATGATATGCCCACTTCCACCTCTTCTCCCAACATCATTTGTCAAGTGCCCATATCATAATAATGGACATCTCACCATAGACAAAAGACAGTCACTTGAAAAAATAAAACCTTGATCAGAGAAAAAAAGGCTTTTGTTCTTTTTATTAATCATTTAAAGATACTACTAAAGGGATGGTTTGAAACAGAAATGAATACGGCATAGATGAAAGTGTTGAGTACTCCTAAGAACTAGTTTCTCTGGACCCACACTTAAATTCTATTCCACAGTTTCTGGAGCCATAACAAGCTATTCTGCAGCTGAATACTGGCATTTCCAAATTCAGCCTTCTAGGATATGTCTCACATCCAAGTTAGAACCACAGTTAGGAGCATTTCATGGGTGCACAGGGAATAGTCACCAGTGTAAGTGTTGACTTATATTTTCATCACACAAACAAAACATTTCCACAAACATCAAGGGGATAAACATTTGTTAAGTTTTCACACTGGTAACCTTTTTTCCATTGCTGCACCATCCTTCTCTCAGCTGGAAGAAGCAATTTGCTTACCAAGCCTGTAAATGTGTGCTGACAGCATCTTCATGGACAGCAGTATGTAGCTTTAGTTTTATATAATTAAAATGAAGCTACATGTCTTTGGTGATTGAAAAGGATAAGCATTTTCTTGGGATAATTGAAAGCTGAATTTAAAATCTAACATCATTCATCCTTGTCAATGCTTATATTCCAACAGAGGTCATTTTACTGAAAGCAAACTTTTTTCTCAACCACAAGGTAATTTTAGGCCAAAATGTGAGTTTCTACTTCACCTCTCTCTTTCCCTTGCTCCTCCTCAACTCTGCATAGCTATCAAAGGGAGAGAAAGAAGTGCATTTGAGAATAAATATGAAAGTAGTATTTGGGGTCACCACTGGTTGGTATTCTTTTAGATTAGAAATGCTCGAGTACCACTATGAAGAGCAATTAAATGGCAGCCACCCTAAATAACTGGAGACAGATGTTCTCCAGAACTACAGCAAATCAAGATTGGCTTGACTTGCACCTTGCACAGAGATAACATGATGCCACTCCCTAGTTAACTCTATTGTCCCCCTTTGGGCCTGCAAGGGTTACCTAATAATAAGCTTTATTAGCATAATAATATAGATGAGTAAAAAGAGATTGGGAATCCAGAAGTTTCATTCCACCTTTCCAGCCCCATTGGCTGGTGGCTGGGTCAGATAATGGCCACTTGATCTAAGCTCCCAGAAGCCCTCTTTGAGAAGCATCAATTCTAAATTTGGATTCTTCAACACCTGCTAAGCATCCTTCATTCTTCAAACGCAGGGTTTTTCAGCTTCACCCATTCCAACCTCTCCTCTCCACACCAGACTGCTGGGTTCCTCCTGTCCCTCAGCGATCACATATCCTCTCATTCCTGGAACTGTCAAGACTTGGCAAATGATTATTTTAGCAACAGTGAAAACCACTGTGTTGCAACCCAAAGATCTCGACTTCCCTCACAAAAGCACACACAACACAGAAGAGCTGAGGAAGCAACAGTTCCAGTCCCACTCCCTTCCCCAAATTCTTTGTCTTCTATCAAGATTTGTGAATGAGCCGATATATGAATTAGCAAGTACTTGTTCAACACACCGTTCTCTAGCCCTCCCCGCCCCCCTGCCCCGCTTTCTAAGTAGATGGCTAAGGAAATACACACACACATACACACACACACACACACACACACACACACACACCCTTAAATCTCTTCCCACGAAGCTGGTTGGGGTTGTTGTCGTTGACTTTTGTGGGGCGGGTGGGTGGGGGAGTGAGGAAGTTGGATGCTCTGCGTTTGCTGGAAGCTATGCTCGGCGAGGCCAAGAGCCGCGGGGGTGACGCTGGGTGAGCCGAGGCTACGGGTCGCTTCCTGCCTCCCAGCTGAGCGAAAGCAGTGAGTGCGCGCGGGGCAGAATCCTGACCCCACCCGCGGGCGCCCTCCCCACCCGCAGCGCGGCCGTCCTCTCCGCCCGGGTTCTGGGGGCCGTGGCGAGGGAGCCTCCAAGCCGGTGCCTAGAGAGCAGGACCTGTTGCAGAAGGAATGGGAAAGGAGCTAGGGGAAAGGGCGAAGTCGTGGGTCTAGAGGGGCTGAGAAAGAGCGGAGCTCAGAGGGGCAGAGAGATCGGGATGAGCTTGGAGAGCAGGCGAGATTCCCCAAGCTCAGAGCCTGTAGGCTGGAAAGAGGACAAAAGGGCAGGGAAAAGAATATCGCTGCAAAGCGAAGAGAAGGACTGTGGAAACTCCAGAGAGCCACAGACAGGCGGGATTCAGGGCACTGCGCACTGAACAGATGTGAAATCCAGGGCGGGAGCGCTGCGCCGGAGGTCCCCACACCTGTGGCTTTGCGGGGCGCATAGGCGCAGCTTAGATTTCAGCCCATGCCGGTCGGTGTTGAGGCCACCGAGCTGGACTAGGGTTCTGAGATGTTCTTAAGGGACAACGCTCCCCAAGATTATTCTAGGAGAGTACCGTGCCAGATAGGGTGAGACTAGGCGGACAAAAGGAGATGTAGGATGCACGCAGAGGGAAGATGATCTGCACCGGGGTTGGCAGTTGGGAGCTCAGGTGCCCTGGCGAACACGGGGAGACACCGGCTGGAAGCGAGCGGGAAAGGATCAGGGGACCAGCTTCCGGCTGGTGAGGGGCTCATGGGCTCCCTAGAATGGGGAAAGGTGGGGTGGAGTTTTAGGAGAATCGGGAAGGTGTTTCGGTAGAAGGGTCACAGCAAACCCAGGTCCCAAAGCTGGGCCCGGGAAACGCAAAGAAATGGGGAGACAGGTCCCCTCTGGCTGGCTGATCCAGAGGAGGCCAAGCGCGCGGCTCCCGCGGCCAGGACACTCACCCACCGCCCAGTGGTTGCCGCGCGGGTACATCTTGGTCAGCACGGTCCCTCCGCCCGCAGGCAGCGGGACCGCTCGCCCCCGGGGCGCCTGGAAGAGGACGAGCACCAGTAGGACCAGCGGGAGCTCGCGGCCGCGCATGGTCCCGACGGGAAGCCCTTGGAGCGCGGCGGAGAGGCTGGGCGAGGCTGGGTTGTGCGCCCTACTGGCAGAGCAGCGACTGGTGACCCGGACCTCAGAGGAGCTCCGCCGCCGCAGCCGCTGGTGCTACTGCTGCGGCCTCCACTAGGGCCCCTACTTTATATGGAAGCCCGGGCGGGGGGAGCTGGGGGCTCTTCTACCGCGGACCGGAGCGCTCTGACGTCTCCCTATAGCTAGCCGGGGCGCTGGGACGCCCGGTCCGGAAAACCATCCATCTCCCTGCCGAGTGACGAAAAAGCTGAGTGTACATTGCCCCCTCTTTTTTCCTCATAGCCCCGTCCGCCTTCACCACATCGGATTAATTCCTCTGGTCCTCGACGCCTTACATCCAACACAATTTAGTGAACTCCTCCCTCTCCAGGCTCGCCGGCGCCTCCAGTGTTAGCTGCTCTGAAATTCCTGGAGAGGGCGACCCCGCTGCCTGATCTGGGCCGGGAGGGGTTGGGGGGTGGTGTAGATGGAGACGGGTGAGCTGTAAAGATAGATGGGCTTTGCTGGAGGGATTTAGAACCACCATTGAAAGGCCTTCTGATTCTCCAGAACTTTCTCTTCGTAGGCCACATCTTTGCTGTCCCAGTCCATAGATTTCGGGACCTTGCCTCCTCTTTGCAGATCTCTCTCTCTTTCTCTGGACCTTGCCTTTTTCTTACAGTTCTCCTCCCCTCCTCTCTTCTCCTCCCCTCCCCTTCCCACTCTCTCCCCTCCCCCCCTCTCTCTCTCTCTCTCTCTCTCTCTCTCTCTCTCTCTCTCTCTCTCTCTCTGTGTCTTTCCCTGCTGCCCTGCACCTTAAGTTTAAGGGCAGTATCCTTAACCCACTTGGTATTCCCAAGCAGCCCTGCCCACTTGCATGGCAAGACAGAAGACACCTGGCCCTTTTCACAAGCATGCAGCTTCCGTGGAATAGAGAAAGAAACTGCTTTATGCCGGTTTCCCTAGGCTGCCTCTACCCGAAAGCTCAAACTGTCCCTAAACTGCCACATACACACCCCTCTAGAGTTGCTCAACGTTCCTCTGCTCCTTCTGTTCTCAGATCTAAAGAATGGTCACCAGCCCAATCCCCGAGGTTCTAAATACCATGGATACAAAGGGGATCGGCACCATAGCAATGCAACAATAAATAGAAGCTGGTAGGATGCTGTTGCCCACGTTTTGGCTGCCAGAGTTGGCCGTGTGGTTGGAATAGGTGAGGTCTGTTCCTCCCCAAATGCTTGTTAATTGCCTCCCTGGTGGGTCTTTACTGTTCCATGTCAACGTTGTGTTGATATTGGTATTGATAAAGTCGAAAACATACACTTGTGTCTGAGTATCTGCTGATTCAATACATTCTTTTTTTGTTTTTTTGTTTTTTTTTTTTTTTTTTTTTTTTTTTTTTTCGTTGTTTTCATTTGATTCTTTATGTGCAAGCTTTGGTGATATCTTGACTCTGATTGTGAAGAGCTAGTTTGAGCTGAATTAATTACTTGTGTTTCTTAGTGAAACTGGAAAAAATGTTTCTTAATATCAAGCATTCTGAGTAACATCTTGTTTCCTTTTTTATATCTTTGTTTCTTACATTGCATTCTTGTTTTTGGAAATTTGTTACTAAGGTCTTTTGATCTATTTGTTGAAACTTGAATATCAAGATAGGCTTGTTACAACAAACAACGGCGGATCGAAACTATTGTATTACTGTGCTCGGTACTCCCTCTCTATTCCCTACAAATGGCGGCGAAGTAATGCGTTGGATGTCAGCGCTCTTTCTTTCACATTGAAACTTTGTTCAGTCAGACCTCTCATCATAAGCGTGTGCATATGATTGCCTACACCTGCTGATCTTTTTTTTATTACCATTTTATTTTATATAACTTTATTGAAACCCTTAACGAAACTTTGCATTGCGCCTTTGTTCTGTTCCCATGTTGATTACTACTGTTGTGAAAAATTTGATCGGCGATTGATAATATTTAAAATCAGTTATTTGAAGGATTTGTTCCCCACGACCTTATTCAGAAACTTCTGTTATCTTCTTCCCAATTCACGTTTGATTACACTCTACCGGGTCTCTTGCCGATTTTCTTTATTCCTTTTTTCCACCGCCTTTTACTCTTCATTTCTTTTTCTCTCTCTTCCACAACACCCTCTTTTTCATAATTAGACGTATATTTTTATTTACTTTGATGTGAAACCTATTTTGTTTCAAGTGAAGCTTCTTTATTTCAGGAAACAACTACAACTACTTTTTTTTTGTTCAAATTTGTTTGTTTGGATCAAAGAATAGACACATTACTGTTCCTAACTGTTGTGTTGTTATGTGATCTCTACATTATTGTATATGTGTTTTTTGGTTATGTTGTTGATTATTACAGTGGTGTTATTCTGGTTTACTAACATTTTTCAACAACAATCAACTCACACCTGTTCTCGTTCAAGCCCGACTTCTTTTTGTTTTCTGTAAGTTTCCTGATTCTTGCCACCACATATTTTGTTGTTTGTCCTGACTTTCATCTTTTCGTGGCGTTTTGCGGTGCTTTTTCTGTGCTGATGCTTGTTTCAGATCGGCGTTATTACAATCGTAACGAAAATTGAACGTTTGTGGTATTTGCACATTATTATTATAATGTTCCCATCGCGGTGATATTCGCGTCAAATTATAAGCCTGATCTTGAAGTTCATTTCCGCGTCTTCATGTTTAATTTTTAACTTAGCTAACTATTTCACTACCTCAACTGAAATATTCATCTATTTCAACCAATGTCTAATGATGTTCTTTCTCGTCTTTCTGCAAGTGTGTTTGAGAAATTACAGGTGACTCAAAAGGAAGCATGTGTTTATTATGTTCTATTATTTAAGTTGTTATTCAACACAAATCAGTTATTCCCGGCGCGGCGGCGATTTATTTGTTTTACGTTTTTGGATCGCAGGCAGTGTGGAAGCCTTTGAAATCGACTGCTGCTGTGTCGTGATTATTTGATTGTTCAAACACCACTCTCTTCAGATTAATTTGAAGGCTTACGAACGCTGGGTGTTTTGCGATTCTCTTCCACCTTCCATGCGACATGAAAATTCACCTGCATATAGTAAATATTCCAAGTAACTTTGTTTTTTTCATTTGCTTTCATTTCCACTTTGAGTATTGTTGTTCTTTTAAGCTTTATTTGCATTTATTACATTCCGGCCTTTTGCATTTCTCTTTCTTTATTGGTTACTTGCCTCGTGCCACCCTCCACATTTACTAAAGATGTTCTCAGTGCTTCCCCATTTGGGAGGGGGTGTTCACAGGAAGAATTTCTTACGTTTGTTGATCTAATTTTTTGTTGTTTACCTTCTCATTCACTGGGTGTTATTTAGTTCTTCCACCACGCGCAATTAGAGGGCTGATCATCGTTGATGTTGTTGGCGTTCCTTCCAAATTAACTCTTAAGCAGTGATTGTTAGCATCTGATATCTTTGACAGCATTGTGCACTGTGAGGCTTGGGGAAGAGGAAGGGACCCCACATTGCGTACTTACATAAAAACCTTTAAGCATTATATTACAACAATGTTACTGTGAAGGTGTTAATTACTGGTTCAACGCATTATTCTTGGTTCGGTTGATGATGATGATGCTTATACGGTTTGCGCTCGTGTTACACCAGGTTGTTATTATGTAAGTGTTTATCCCACTTTTATGGTGATTTGTTTATACTATTAATTTAAAAAAGTAACCTGCTGCCCCAGAAGGTGTGGGTTGTGTTGTTGTTGTTTCTAATTTTTTTCCAAATTTTTTTGGAGAAGAAATATCTGCATGATTGTGAATTCTTGAAAAACTCGATAACCCTTACCACATTACTTTCTTTTTCAATTGTTGATATCTGTTTTAGCGTTCTTTCTCCATTTGATCAATCTACTGTTGAGCTATTTCATTTTACTGTTATCATTTTGGGGTAAATTCCGCCACATCTGATAGTTCCACCTCTTTTATTTATTTCTGATTTATATTTCGATTTATTTGGCATTTTTGATGTTACGCTTCTTATTTTTATTGTGGGTTAATGTTGTGTCGCGGCGCGCGAAATTTGGTGATTTAACTGCTTGCTTTATTTTATTTATTTACTATAAATTTAAGGTGTCATTTGTTAATTCTGAAAAACATTGAACTCTCAAGTCCACCCATTGAAGCTGATAATTTTTGTACTATCTTATTTGTCTGCTGCAATCTAAAGGTGACATTCTTCATGCCATTTGCTTTTGCCAATTTTACAGTGTTGACGCATTCATTTTTTATGACAGTTATTTCATGAAGTATTGGGTGGGCTGTGGCCATGGATAGTTAAAGACGTTGATTCTTGATGACGAAGAAACTGACAAGAAAGATGATGGCCGGAAATAAGGCTGCGATGATATATTATTATGTTGTTGATATTTTGTTATTTGGATGATTGATGATTATGCCCTTCCACCTAGTATGACTTCCAATATTTTCCCTCTCTTGTGAAGTGAGCTGATCAACCGTTTTCATCCTTATGTGCTGTTTTACTGCATCGCGTTGATTGTGAACATGTTCACTGTGATTCATTTCAGGTTGTTATTTTTTATGATATTTTTCAGTTCTTGAGATCTTACATTATTTTGTTATCTTTGTTATATTTTACCTTTTAGACATTAATTATTTATACTTACTTTTTATTGATTTGATTTGAAACTTACATTACGATATATTTTTAGGTGTTAACATTACATTAGCTCTCTAAATATCTATTCGTTATCTTTTTTGCATTACATTCGACGTTATTTTGCTTTGAAGTGTGTATTTGAAGGGACGTTTCAATACTTGGGGACATTTGGGCATTGAACATTCTCATTTGCCATTCATCTTTAACACTCTCCAGATCTTTGTTTGCCACCCAGGCTGTTTGGCGTTGACCATTGGCCTTTTTATTTTGCCAGAATATTTATATTATTTGTAACCTTGTCTGTTATTATTATTCCCCACAGCGGTTGGTTTCGTTGTGTTCATTGTTGATGTGGAATCCACTTTGTTGCTTTGTCTGTTGTTTCAACAATTTTCTTCTTTGTTTATTACGTTGTCCGCTTTTTCTTATTACCTCAGCCGACAATGTGATCGTTTGATAACGTGATCTCTTTAATGTTTTACCCTTATTCTTCCCCCGCCGGCGTTGGACGCTGATTCTTGTTTCGACCGCGCTTACCGTGCATCTTTGTTCAAACTTTTTGCTTGCCCGGAAGCTTTGATTTGTCTTACATTTTTTATACATTTTCTTACTAAATGTATAAGTCTTGACATCTTTACATTTCCCTATTTCCTTTTTGCATTTTGTCCATGAACCTTTATTCCCTGCGTTAGCAACTTCTTTAACTTATTTGGGTCTGAGGACGCAGGGTAGATTTACTTCAGAGCCCTGATTTCTATTTGACAACAGTTGCGTGTAATTTCTTGGTTGTTGTTCCACATTATTAGTTTATTGTTGGAATAAGATCGTTCCTCTCATTTGTAAAGCAGGAATCAATGAAATCGGGTTTAATGATATTGCCTGTTTTCATTTGTTTTTCTCTATCTTTCTTGTGTCTCAGTTTCTATATTTCTTATCTGCTGTGATTTTTATGTTTTGGTTTGATTGGAAGTGTGATTTAAGATCAGTTGTTT